GTGTAAGGGAAAAGGTCTATGCTAATTCCCAGCAGATGCTCAACCTATTTTCTCCTAAATATGCAACAGCTCTGCTGAAACAAAGGTAACCTTATTCCTGCACAATATCGCTCTAATTATTGCTAGGAAAATGGCACTACAGTTGCCTGGTTACCTCTTTATTTTTTTAATTGCTTGTTTGTAATGTTAGTTTCATAAGCTATAACAACCCAGTGGAAAATCGGGATCTACAGTAGGCTACAATTGTCATTAGTTTTCGAATTATTTTTTGTAATTAAAAATCTAGGGACCTGGATTTTTGCCTGATCTCTTAACCTTGGTTAAGTAACTGAATATACTTGTATGTTAGTTTCTTAACTACTAAATGAGTAAAATGGGTTTGGTAAGTGACTGAAATATTTTTAAAGGAACAGCATTCAGGCTGTATGAGAAATGAAAGTGAAAAATTTAAAAATATAATCAGAGCTAGAGTGGTTCATTTGGTCCCTTTCTCAACACCCTCCCACCTTCCTATGTTTCTTTGAGATAGCTGACAGATTCCAAGTGTTGCAAGGACTGCAGTTTTAAAATCACTAGACAAGAGAATCTAATATTCTGTCTCTATGATTTTATAAGCATGAGAAGAGGGGGAATATGCTAGAAAACTGGAAATAAGTGGATTTGTAGCTACCATGTAATGAATGAAAGGTTCAGGCAAAAGATGCTTGTGCATATATAGTTTCAAAGTCGATAAAATACCTTATAATGTTGACTTATTTTTTTTCCCTATTAGTGTAGTCTCAAAGGAAAGAATTAGACTCAAGGTGAGCTTGAGATAAGCCTTTGTCTTCTTAACTCATGTCTAAGCCCCATAATCTGGATAAGCCCATATCTGTTTGGAAATTTGTCATGGTTAAAAGTGGTGAAGAGTGATTAATATCACAAATTACAAAGTGGGAAAGAGACTGGTGATTCATCCCTGATAAGCCCCAACTACCGGGCAGAGGCTGTGAAGGCACCTGCCAAGATCCGCCAGTCTGCCAGTGATTACATGGTTGCTACCTCACATAATTCCTCATATGTGAACTGAATTTTGTCTTGATCTTTGGAGAAGTGAGGAGAAAGGCTCCTTCACATAGGGGTTATTAAAGTCCAAAAGTCAATTTGAAAACAAAAATCACTAGTCTAAGTACTTCTAAAGAATAAGCTAAGGACCTTAAACAAATACAACTTTCAAAATTCTCTTTGTATTTGCTTTGTTATAGAAGTAACACATATAAAGCACACAGTACTGGAATATATTTAAAGTTCAGAGAAGGAAAAAAACAAATTGAAAATGTTACCTGGAGATTAACAATTTTAATATTCTGTAATACTCACCTTTTGTTGAACGTATATATTATTCACATATGAATTTATGATGAAACAATTCAAAAATTACCACTACAAATATATGAGTGCCTTTATGATCAAACCCTCACAAATATTAAATACTATACATTTTAGCTTTTATAACATGCTAGTTGAATAATATCATTTTGTTCTTATTAGTATTAATATTTTTAGTATTCATATATTTTTTTCATATTTTGTTTGCTTTCAGAAGAGAACAAACTTTCATTTAGACTTTTTTTAGTGAATTAAAGGTATCTCTTAAAATAGTAAATTAAGTGCATGTGGCAATTGTCAATGTATATTAATTTCTACATAATACTTTAATGTTTAGGATTCATTTATAACATAGTGACTAATGAGCAACATTGTAACATCCATCCCTCTTTTACCCATTAAATTCATGTTATTTTTATTCAAAATTAATTTTCTCAAATGGCAAATACTTACTATAAAATTATATATGATTATATGTATTTAATGAAGTATAATTTTCTCCATTACCTCCCAAAGCCATGCATAGAAATCACCATTATAGGTTCATGTATACATTCTTCCTTAATTTTTCCAACTTACATAATACAGGTAAAGATATACAAAAGGATGGATTGCAGCTAAGGGTCATAATGTAATAGTTTTAAAATTTTATTTTTTGCTATGAATATTATATTTTCATATAAAAATACATGTAAATTCATCTCATTCATTTAATGTCTTCATGTGATTATAAATTTTTGACATACAAATTTTTGTTTTTAGTTTTTCACTGTTGTGTACAGTTTGGCAATAAATATTGTGCAGCTATCTTTTGTCTTTGTGCTTGTATTTCAGTAAAAGAGATTCTCAGAAGTAGAATTGTTGATTTAAAATGAATGTGTGTTCTTATGTTTTTAATTTACTCTCAAACACCCTCTGAAAGGGATTTGCCAGTTGAGAGTCCTCTCAACAGTTGAGAGTCCTGACAGCACAGATTTCTCTGCACATTATCAACCCTCGCTGCTATCAGTTGATTTTGGAAATATTAGCAGTCTGATAGAATTTTGTTTAAATTTGTGTTAATCAGGAGTGATAATACTCATTTTTAATGAAAGTGTCCTTATATATGTTAAGAAATACTGCACTCTGTAGTTATCTTGATTACCTCTTTCAGAAAGTTGTTGATTTTTTTAATTGAAGTAGTATTGCAACATTGTGTACAACTTAGAGGTTTAGGATCACACCCTTCAGATTAAATTTTATAGTTAATATTTAATTTTAGTGGATTTTAATCAGAGAATATGCTCCAATGTATACTTATTTGGCTCCCATAAATGTGAAATTTCTGGTAGCCTGATGATGTACCTGACTCTACTGCCATCTGGGGTAGTTGGCTGAGACCTGGAGTTGCTGTGGACAGAGTTGGTCCAACTAACCAAGCAACATCAACAAAGTACCCACTTTGTGGGCTTGTTTCCTGGGTGCTTCAAAGCCTTTACTTTCTATATGCGGTCTTCATACGTCCATGTAACAATTGAACACAACACACACCAAAAATACACATTCATTCAAACACATATAACTTTCTTTGAGCTAAACCAGCTAAAATTCTTTCCCCACCTCCTAAAGTTCCCTGCCTTAGCTGCAGAGCTTTTGCCGCCTTATGTTTCATAAAGTTTTGTATTTATTTCCCCACATGGCACATCTATATTTGTCTTTAAACCTCCCACAAATGTTCTTTTTTAGAAAATCTATTTCACTTAAAAATCTAATCCTTAATGTTTTATCATATTACGTATTACATATCCCATATCATATGACATCAGCCATACTTCTATCCATGTCTATATAACAACTGTATGAAAACTCAGATTGCAGAATATTTGATTAAAAATATATTATCCCAGTTCAATAATTTAGGAACTAATCTTTTTTTCAGGGGAGAAAGGACTTTCCATCATCCACTCAATCCCTACATTTTACAGAGACAAATTAAGGAAAAGTGAACTCCCCAAGGCCACACAATTAGTCATGGTTCACTTTTATTCTTAACTGATTCATTAGTATGACTCATTAGTTCTTTGAAAAACACAAAAAAAATCCCACATTGTCACATACGAACAACTTTGATGCTAATCAAGACAAAACAATCATAGGTTATGTTTCAGCACTGATGGTGTGTGACTTGTTCTGGTTTAGAGATCATTGTTTATAGAATCAGTGAGTAGTTGTGAGCAACACTGACAAGTCTCACCTCTTTCACTTCTAAGATTTCTGACACTGTTTTATATGTGGAATATAGAGAAATTGAACAAAGGTCAGGAAAAAGACAAATCCTGCAAGTTGACGACAGGTCTCAAGCATTTAGCAGCGCAGAGAGAGGGAGAGGGGTTAAGACAAGTGATGGAAGATCACAACAGACTGTGGAGATGGGTCATAGAAGTTATGGGGCTGGGCCTCCCCGGTGGCGCAGCAGTTGAGCACTGGGTTGCGAAGCTGCCTGCAGCCTCTGCAGCACCAGTTCAATCCCTGGCCACGGGCGAGGGTCCCACATGGCACACAGACCTCTCCTGCCGCCCGCTGCTCCCCTCAGCAGTGTATTTCATCAGTCTGCCTGTTCTGTTCCCCACTCTGGCTCTGGTGAATTTTCTCAACCTCCCACGCTTCTGACTGTAACCAGTGCTTGTATAAATAAATAAATAAATCTTTAAAAAAAAAAAAAGTTATGGGGCTGGGAGAACTGCAGGGACTACACCTGAGGGGAGAAATCAAATATTATCCAAAAATTAACAATAATGTAAGAAAATAAGAAGGCTGTGTAGTCGTTAGAGTAAACAAACAAATGAGCTAAATAAAACAAAAATAAAATTTTGGACTATACAAGAAGGGAAGGGGCAAAGAGAGTAGGTAAATCGGAGAAAAGGGGACAATGGTGTAGGAAAGATAATTTGGACTTTTCGGTTTCACATTGGTGTAGATTACATATGTGTGGATTCTCAGGGATGAAATCCTGAAACTTATAGAATGTTATAATGCAATTTTATGGCAATTAAAAATAGAGTAAATTACAGAAGTAAATAATAAAAATAAATGGTTCTAAATGGAGGTGTCCCTTGGAAAATTGTCTTTGAAGTGAGTTAAGAGGTGACTCTTACTGGCATAGACTTTTCTTGGTGTGGTGGGTAGACAAGGTGTTTTAGGTACAGAGCTAAATTCCAGAGGCAAGGAAGTAGAGGTCACGGTCACGGAATTCTGATGTTTTAGCACAGTTACAAAGAAGAGCAGACCAAAGATAAAAATAGGTGTTTTTTAGGTTTAAGAGAGAATACTAGAAAAGTATTTTACTCACACAGGGAAAATGTAATTGGAAAATCTAACCATTCTAAGCTCTTTCAAAGATGACAGTTGAATCTGCTTGCATAACAGTAAACAGAACCTACCCACCTGCTTAGTTTCTAATGCAATTTACTGAAAGTTATGTCTTCCTACACACTTCTTCATAACTAATTTGACCTACACTAAATAGTATTTTTATAGCAGCTATAGTCAACATGAAAAGTTCTTTTTCATGATAATTTTCTACTCTCTTTCTGGTCTACTGAGTTTCTAAGCATTTTTTTTTTTTTTTGTTATTCTTTTGTTCCTTCTCACAGGCTTGCAAAAGTTGTGCTCATCTCATCGTGGGCTTGAGAAGAGTGTGTGGGCTGCCAAAGGCAAATACAATGAAGGTGAGTTCAAAGTTGCCACTCAGACCAATTTTGTTCTTCAGTATAATGGAGTAGCATCTTCAGAGTCTGTGTGGGGTGTGAAAATGTAACACAAATCTGCAATATCATATTCATATTATTATCACATCTGACACAAGCTCATCATGAACTTTACCAAGTGTATTCACATAAATGATTTATTTAGTTTTCTCTAAAGCTTCTGGTGACATTGGATTTTCTTATAAAGGTTTTACCTACCAGAATTTAGCTACAAAAACCTCTGTGCCACTTGTTTTTTTTTTTTTTTTTTTTGAGAATATGACCTTGATCTGCAAAGGCAGTAACAAATGGTGGTGCAATTTAATCAAGGAATCAAGGATGAAGAATGAGCTCCAGTTTATCAGAATGTTTGGATTTCTGTTTCTAAATACCAATAACTCCTTTTGAGCATATCCCAGAAAGAAAATGAATTAAGGAGCTCACCCTTCTGAGAAATATTCCTCAGAATGAACTAATTTTTTTAAAGTTTATATATTTTTTACATAATTTTTCATTTTTGTACAATATACGCATTTTCATCTTGGTTATAGGCCCTGAACAATTCCCACCACCCTTGTTTTGATCCTACTCCACTTGTTATTTTAAGGATTGTAGTTACATGATAGAATAACTTGGTCATCTCAGTAAGTATTAATAATCTGCAAGGCACTGTGCAGACCATTTGATACAAACTTACACATAACTTTTATTTTTATTTTTAATGAAGTTTTGTTTTATTTGCCATACTATTATATACATATCAGGAGTATAGTTCATCCTCTATCTGTGTATGAGCCTCACCTCAATAGATTTCGTTGGGATTTCATCCTTTCAGTCACTCTGGTCAAATTCCTGATAGTCTCCAGAATACTTCGCTCATCACTTCTCATATGTGATCAGTTAACTCAACCTATGACTATCTTCACAAGATATTCATAATCCAGCTGATTCTTGTCATCTATACTATTAGTACCCTGGTCTAAATGAACCCCTCTCAGAGAATGTCACTCTGCTCAAATACCTCTAAAGGCTTCTGATATCAAGCAGACCTTACTTAAAATGACCAGCAACTCTCCTCTGCTCCCATCTCCAACTAATTTTTCCATAGGCCACAGGGCCTTCTTGTAGTTCTTATCACTTCTGGGCTGATGACATTGTTGTGGCTTGTGCTGGGGCAGTTTTCTTCCAGATATGTGTATAATTTCCTGCCTCACCTGCTTGAGGATTTTGCTCAAATATAGTTCGGTGAGACCTTCCCTGGTCATCATATTAAAAGTGCATGCCTCTCCCCCACCCAGCTTATTTTTATTTACAGAAATTATTGTATGTACTATATCTTTTGTTATTTTCCTGTTGTCTATCTTCTTCCATCATATTGTAAACTCTGTGGGAGAAGGAAATTTTACTTTCTTTTTCTGTATTGATTACTATCCTACGTGCTTAGAACAGTGTTGATAAATGGTAGACTCTCAAAAACATTGTTGATAAAATGAATTATAGAATAACATGTCTTTAAAATGTAGAATTGAAAGAAATTTATGCAGTAATATATAATATAGTAAAAATGTAGAATTGAAAGAAATTTATGCAGTAATATGTTGTAACACCAATCTGAGCTCCTTAAACAGTAGTGTCTGCTTTTGTTATATGTGTTCTTCTGAAGACCATCATTAGCCAAACCCACGATTACTATATAGGCATCACTGGTATGAGGCATAACTCTAATTGCTTCCCACACTAAGGACTGATAGTACTTCTTGTCTTAATTAAAGTCAAATTAGAAACTCTGGAGAGATTCACATCATTCTTCTGATATATTCGCCCAGGCTTTCCCCTTTATTTATTAAATTTTATCTCGTCTTTTAGTATAGTTATACACCTGGGCATTGTAGATGATTAAATATCAAAGGGATATACTTTGCTCTATTACTAGAAGAATATACTTTTCTATTTTTTAATATATATTTTTTTTGTTCTAAATTCTGGTGAGAAAATGTAATTAAATCATTGTTACAAGCAAGAAGTTTCTATTCCTGTTTACCATTTCATTCCCAAATAATAACCTAGAAAATACTGGTCTTAGCACTTACTCAATTTATTTTGTGGATGAAAGGAGAAAGGTAACAGATCAGTTTTAAAAAATGTGTGCAATGGAGTGGTCTTGCTTTATTAGGACATATGGCCATTGATTTATTCATCTATCATGATATTGTAATGGATCTACTTTGCAAGTTGCACTGAGCTAGGTGAGAAAGTAAATGAAGAGAGATTGAAAAAGAACATTGTTTTCAGAAGTAGCAGAACCAAAATTGAGTCAGGATGGGGCATAGAATAGAAGTGTGACTTTGGAAAGTAACTTAATTACTTTATGTTTCATATCTATATTAAGAAAATGAAGACAATATTAGACTTCAAAAACACATTTTGCGTGAGCCCTGGATGAATTGTTAAATTATAAAACAGTTTATAAATTTCTGTATAAATGTAAGCCATTTAATTATCATTCATAAAAAAGTGTCAGGTTTTTATGTAAAATTAAATAGTGCAATAGATTATTTCATAATAAAAAGGAAATGTATAAGAAAGTATAAGGTAGAGACTTATTAATATTATTACACATAATATACACCATCATATATTGTTATATATCATATTGTATATATATAATATAAATTATAAATAATGTGTGTATGTCAACATTAGTATTTTTTAACATAACTGTCACAGTTATTGACAGACCAAAATCAATGCATGCAGAGACAAGTAAACAATTGCTAGGTGTCATTTCAGATAAAACTGTTACAGTATCTGGATTCAAAGTCACCTTTAGCTGGCTCTAAAAACAGAACTCTTTCTAGGTTGTTTTTACACTAATCTTCAGAGACCTTTTTGCAGTTTTACATTAAGCATCAGAGACCTATTTTACAAATACTAGAACATACTATAGAAATGATCCCTGCAAGTACTAGAACTAAGGCTAAGAGAATAACATGTATGCAGGCATATCTCTTTGGATGTAACACATCACACATTTTAACCGAGATTTCTGAGGTCAAGGCTGCACAATTTGTGAGCTGATTCCTGTTTGGAAACCAAAAGCCAGGCATTATATTATACATAACAATCATATACTAAAGGTACAATTTGGTGATGCATCTGTTAAGAGAAATAGAAAACTATAATAGGATTAGTTGTTGGGGAGACATGACTAATCAGTATAAAGGAATGAGAGAACAATCCATGATTCTATATAATTAAGTGCTAAATTAGTGTGGATGAAGAAGTTCAGAAGAGACTTGGTGTGTGGGAAGAGGTGACACATCAGTTGAGTCTTGGACAACTTGGATGATGAATAGCAGGTGAAGAACATTCCCAAAAAGGAAAACAAAAGGAAGTATTTTTGTGAGGCGGATCAAGGAATATATCCTGACCCAAGCCAAGAGAGATATCTAGTGGATAAGTTAGGTTGAACAGGATTATGAGAATTTTCCATGCCTAATTTTTTCCATATGTATATATAACATTACATAAATGCGTAAGTGTGGCAATGCACAAGGTTTTGAATATATAGACTTCGTTTTTCTTTTTCCCATTTTTGGCTTTGTTCTTTCATCTTTTCTTCCACCCAGCTATATTAACCCACACAACCATGTTAACAACCTAGTATGTAGCTTTCTATATATTTTCTCCCTGTTCAAGAAATGGGATAGATTTCATGTAGAAAAATTATAATTTACCATAATGCTAGGGATTTTTTTTTCCTAGAGTTTTATTTCCACTCTTTTGCTACCAAGACCAATGATAAACATCCCAACATAGGGGTCATTTTTATGGTTGCTTTGTTTTTAGGATAGACTTCGAAGTCTGTCCTACAGAGGATTGTTTGTTGAAGGATAGACTTCTAAGAGTTGGATTATTGTTTAAAAGAGGCTCTAGGGGGCCTCCCTGGTGGTGCAGCAGTTGAGCGCTGGGTTGCAAAGGTGCCCGGCGCAGCCTCTGCAGCGCTGGTTCGATCCCTGGCCACCAGAGAGGGTCCCACATGGCGTACAGACCTTCCTGCCGCGCTTGCTGCTCCCCTTAACAGTGTACTTCGTCAGTCTGCTTGTTCTGCTCCCCGCTCTGGCTCTGATGAATTCTCTGATGAATTCTGCGCTTCTGACTGTACCCAGTGCTTGTATAAATAAATAAATAAATCTTTACAAAAATAAAATAGGCTCTAGGGCCTACCTGGTGGCACAAGAGGTTAAGTGACAACATTGTGAAGCTATTGCATCCACTGCAGCATAAGTTTGACCCCCTGCTGGACTGCTTGGCTCAGCAAACCTCTCCTGTCTTGCCCGCTGCTCCCCTCAGCAGTGTATTTCAGTAGATCACCTTTTCTGCTCCCCACTCTGTCTCTGGTGAATCCTCTCACCCCCTGGCCTGTACCCCAGTTTTTGTATGCATAAATAAATCAATCTTTAAAATAAAAAGGCTCTAATTCTGCATAATTTCAAAGCAATATAAAAAAGACTACTTTTCCAACATTCTTTATAAAAAATAGGTTTCATGGCTCTATCCCATTTTTTGCTAATGTGAAGAATTTACAACAATATAGCTTGTTAGTCTAACTTTTATTTCCCTGACTACCAGATAAATTATTCTTCCCATTTAATATTACTAATTTATATAGATTTTTAGATTAGGATCTGAAAAATTAGTCTGTAAAGACTTCCTTTTTTGTTATTTTTTTTTCCTTTTCTGTCTTTTTATGAATTGAGGTTGAATCAGGGAAGCAGAGTGAAAAGTACTTCAAGTATTACAGAATAGGGATTTATTGTAGTAAGAACTTAATCAATTGTAGAAGTTTTTGGAGAATATTCATCCAAAAAAGGAAGTTGGAGGATCGGAGAAAAGTACTCACTGTCTGTCTGCTTTCTGAAGCACATAGGGCAGACAAGTCAGAGCTTGTCAGAGAAACTGGAGCAGGCCCATGGATTACT